CCGCGGTGCAACCGCGCGCACCGCGCGTCTGTCGGGCGGGCGGAGCAGCGACCGCTGGCGCGGCCGCTGCTCCGTCTGTGCCAGAGACGCGCGCTCTGCGCCGCTGCAGAGCGCGCGCGTCAGGGCAAGGGGCATGCGTGGCGGCGCGGGACGCGCGGCGGCGGCGGCGAGCACGCTCCGTGAGCGGTGAGGCGGCCGGGCGAGGGCGCGGCGGGTGACGGGTCAAGGGAGCAGCCCACACCCGGCGTCGCTTTTTGAGCGACGCCTGTGGTACGCCTGCGCAGGGGCCGCAGGGCGGTCAGTTGTGGGGCGAGGCGGTGCCGGCCGCGGGCCGGGTGCAAGGCGCCGGCCTCGGCGCCGCCTCGGCGCGCCGCACGGGCGCGGCGAGCCTCTGAGCGGGAGCCGAAGGTTTGCCTGTGGGAGGTAGGTAGGTAGGTGGGGTGGTTTGACTTTGGAGCAGAGGCCGTCCCTAGAACAGCAAAACGGGACAGTATCGCAGATGCCGATCACCAAAGTTCAAAGTTCAACGATGGCGACAGCAGCGCTCGGCGCGAGCCGATTTCACCCCGCCCCACAATCGCCGATGCCGTTGGCCCGCGCCTCACTTCCGGAGCGCAAGCACGCGTTGGCGGCACTGCCCAACGACCGCGCCGCATGGCGCGCGGCGCTGCCTCGCCGAGCCGCAAAGAAGGCCGCAGCCCTCATCAAGAGCCTCGCTGGCTCAGAACCACAGAGGCCGAAGCTGGACAAACGCCTCCGGGAGCAGGTGGCGCTCCGCGTCGAGCGCTCGGACCCAGCGCTCGCCGCCATCTACCGTCGCTGCTTCGACACGCTCGAGCCGCTGATCAGCGTCCGCCGCGGCGAGCTGCAGTCTGGACGGCGTCCGACGCTCGCCTTCATCTCGACGGGCGACATCCCGCAGATGTGGCTGCGCGACTCGACGGCGCAGCTGCTGCCCTACCTACGACACTCGCGCGCCGAGCCCGGCGCCGGCGCCCAGCGCCACGGCGGGCTAAACGCGACTCACCGCCCTACGCTCGAGCTCGCTGCCGCTCTGCTGCGCGCGCACACGCTGTGCCTTTCCGTCTCCATATACGCCAACAACTGCAGGCAGGCCTTCAGCGCCGGCGCCGGCCAGTCGTGGCCCGACATCACCTTTGGCAAGACGGGCTGGAACCCAGGCTCGCAGTTCGAGCTCGACTCGATCAGATCTCCCGAGATTTCCTGAGGCTGACCCGAGATTCCCCGAGACTAGGCTCGCAGTTCGAGCTCGACTCGATCGGCGCCTACCTCGAGCTCTCTAGCGAGAGTAACCCGAGAATACCCGAGGTTTACCCGAGGTTTACCCGAGACTAGGCGCCTACCTCGAGCTCTCGGGCGAGGTCTGGGCGAGGTCGTCTGGCGCCGAGAGCGTGCGCAGCGCCACGTTCGACGCGGACTGGCGGCGCGTGGTGCGCCGGCTGCTCGCGCTGATGGCTGTCGAGCAGCAGCACGAGGCGCCGCGCGCCCCTCCCATGCGCGCCCTTTGCGCCCTCCTGCCCTGCGGCCCTCCGACCACTCGCGCCGCCGCGCCGGCCGCACTGCCCTGCCCCGTGCCCCACTCCGCACGCGCGCTGCGCTGCCGGCAGACGCTCTCCATGCACGAGTACCCCGGCGTGGCCGGCGTCTCGCAGTCGTTCCCGGAGCTCTCGCGGGAGGGGCGCGGCACGCGCGTGCGCGGCGGCGTTGGGCTCATCTGGTCGGGCTTCACGCCCGGAGACGACTCGCCTGCGCTTGGGTACGTGCCGTCGAGCATGCTGATCTAGACCTTTCCTGGACCTCTCCTAGACCTGTCCTGGACCTGTCCCTGACCTCTCCTGGACCTAGATACGTCGTGCCGTCCAACATGCTGATCGCCGTCCAGCTCGCGCGGCTGCGCTCCATGCTAGCCGAGGGGCTGGAGCTGGGCGGCGGCGAGACGCGCGACGACTGGTCGCGGCGGGTGAGCGACAGCGCCGCCGCCCGACACGGCCACCCGCCAATGGCCGCCTGGACCTTTCCTAGACCTGTCCACGACCTTTCCCAGACCTTTCGCACACAGCCACCTGCCTCTGGCCGCCGCCACAGCTCTGCAGCCCTCGCCCGCACCGTCCTGGCGCCCAGTCCTCGCCCCCCCCCCCGAACGAAGAAAAAAGCAATAACAGAGAAAATAATTACGCTGTCTTTAATCATGACGGGGAGCTCTTGGCTAACTTTTGGGCTC